ATATGAATGGGATCAAATACTCTTGTGCTACCAGAAGTGAAGACACAGTTTCAGAGAAACCTGGGAAGAACTGTATGAACAGATGTAGAGTGAAATGAGCAGAACCAAGAGAATAATTTATACGATAGCAGTAACATTGTAAAGACAAACATCTTTGAAAAACCTAGGAACTCTGATAAATGCAATAACCAACCATGATTTCAGAAGAGTAGTGATGAAGCGTGCTCCTGCTTTCTGATGGAGAAGTGATGGACTCAGGTTACAGAATGAGACACATACACACACACACACACACACACACACACTATTTACATGCGGAATTTTATTTTGCTTGATTATGAATACTTCTTTTCTTTTTCTTTTTCAAAGTTGGGAGAGGAAATAATAATAGTATATACCATTTATGTATTTCTTACTATGTGCCAGACACTGTGCTAAGTGCTTTACAATTATTATCTCATTTTATCTCATGACAACCCCAGCAGGTAGGCAATTATTATTCCCATTTTACAGTTGAGGAAACTGAGGCAAACAGGTTAAGTGACTTGCCCAGGCTCATAAAGCTAAGGAAATGGTCTAAAGCCAAATCTGAACTCAGGTCTTCCTGACTCCAGGCCCAGCACTCTATCGACCACATCACTGAGCTGCCTCCAGATTCTGGAAACAAAAACAAACAAATAGAGGCTTTCGTAAAATGAAAAAAACCTGGGGTAGCTAGGTGGCACAGTGGATACAGCACTGACCCTGAAGTCAGGAGGACCTGAGTTCAAATCAGGCCTCACACCAAACACTTGACACTAGCTGTGAGGCCCTGGGCAAGTGATTTAACCCTAACTGCTTAAAAATAAAAAAAAAATGAAAAATTAAAATGATAAAACCCAAATCCTACTTTTGAAGCTCACTCTTTGTGTGATCTTGAACAAGTCACTTGACTTCTCTACATCCCAGTTTCTTTAATAGTAAAATAAGCTTCCAGCCCTAGATCGGGAGATTTTGTTTTCTTATCCACGAGCATGTATTAAGTGCCTTCTCTGTGCAAGGCGTGGTACCAGGGGCTGGGGATACAAAGACAAAATGAAAAGCACTTCCTTCCCTTGAGCAGCTTATATTCTACTGTGGGGACATAACGAGATACTTCAGGGAAGGAGTGACCACAACATGAATGGAGAGGGTGCTCCAGGCATGGGGGCCAGCTTGTACAAAAGCCAGGAAGTGGGAGATGGAGTGCTAGAAGAGAAGGGATGGAGATCAGAATCAAAGAAGAGGTGCAAGTAGTTACAGGATAAAAATAATAACAAAATTAATAACAATAGCTAGCATTTATACAGCATTTTAAGGTTTGTAAAACATTTTACCAGCACTGTCTTATCCTTACAACAATCCTGGGAGCCAGGTGCTATTACCATCTCCATTTTACAGATAAGGAAACTGAGTCAGAGGTTAAGTAATTTGTCTTAACAAGCCTGAGACTTATGAATTTGAATGAAGCTCTTCCTGACTGCAGGTCGTGCACTCTGGCCACTGTGTCAGCTAGATCAGCACTTCTGAAACTTTGGGTGGAAACCTCGTATGGGTTGTGAAAAATCTGGCAACAGTAAAAGGTTTCTGAATACGCGACAGCCAAAATTTAATTCAAAATCAAACGTGTAATGAATCCCAGGTGTTTCTGGTGGGTTGCATGGCACAACTTCACTGCAGCTTTGGTTCTGAACACAAAGCATGGGCACGTCGCACTGCTCATGCCCTCATGCAACATCAACAGATGAAACTCCATGACTCCAATATGTCACTGGCATGCATTCTTTTGATTTGGATATACACACACACATATAGATATATATACACGTATAGATATAGATATATAAATGTACACACATTTATATACATATATAATTATTACACAAGGAAGTCTTACAATGGTTAAACATTCAGAGCAACTGACGATGTACAAATCAGCTCACATGCTGAAAAGATCAGTGACCACCCATCACTGAGGGGTGCTGCTCATGCTAGCAACCTAATTTAGATAAAGCAACATGGAAGAAAGGACTGAAATTCCTCACCTTGGTAGCTCTCAATCATTCTAAGACTCTTAGTACAACCTCCAAGGGAGACAAAGTGGCTTGGCGGAGAGACAGCATATCTGGGCTTTGCTTCTTCCTATCTGGGTGACCAGAAGTAAGTGACATTACTCTTCTAGGCTTGGGTTTCCTCATCTGGGATGGCCCCACAGACCTCTAAGGCTGCTGCTGAGCCTGCTCCAAATTGGAAGTGTCCACCACTGCATTCGACTCATAGAATGTTGGAATGGAGGAGAACTGAGAGATTAGGGAGTCCCAGTGCCTTCATTTTATAGATGAGGAAGTTGAGGCTTTGGGAAGGAAGTAGTAACTTAGTCCAGACCACAAGGCTAATTTGTGACACAGCAGGGAGAAATAATTACAGCTCACCTTTCAAGGACATCTTGAGGGAGGACTTCTGCCACAGCCGTCTGGTCTGATTCCTTGAAAAGTTTTCCATCTCTGAGCCTAACAACCTGTATGACCTTAGGCAACCCCTCAATCAATGAATAGATCAATCAGTAGCATTTATTATGTGCCTGCCAGGTGCTTAGGATACAAGGCCAAAAATGAAACCAGTCCCTGCCCTCAGGAAACTTAAGTTCATTTTACTAGATGGCCCTTTAGGTCCAGATCTAGAATTCTAGGATGTAAAAATTGCAACTGTTATTGCCTTCCATTCTACAGATGAGAAAACTGGGGTTGAAAAAAGTGAAAGAGACTCTCCCAGGTTACACAGTTTAGAAGTATTTAAGCCTAGGTATCCTGATGTCAGTTCCAATACTCTCGATGCTGTGGAAAGCTGTGGAGCCAGAGGGTGTGAGTTCAAATCCTGTTAATGTCACTTACTACTTGGTGACCTTGGGCAAGTCACCTTGAAATCCCTGGTCCTCAGTTTCCTCATCCAGGGGACTGGATTGAATGGCCCTTCCAGCTTTATGCTTTTTCCACTGCACAGGCTGGGGAACTTTCTCTGGTGAAAATTCATCACTTGTCATTTTATGGGATTTAATGATAGCTCAGGGAAGGGAAAGCTCTTTGGAAAAAACCGGCTCTGGAGGAAGTAGAAAGAGAAAATGAGCAGTGGTCACACCCGCCTAGTGCTTATTAGATTTGCCATTTCTCCATGTGAAGGCATCTTCCAGGATAAAAAGACCCTTCCTTAGACCTTGCGACAGGAGCTTTGCCAATGCCTCTGGAACTCTCTTAGAACAGCTGCACCCGGCAGTGCCAATACGGCCAGCCACATCACACCTGCCACTTAACCAAACCTCATTCCGAGGCCAGTTAAAAATAGGGAGCTCCTGGGGAAGGCAGGCAGGTGAACTGAGTGAAGTGACATCTTCCTAATGAGGCTGAGACCACTAGACAGATGGGCACATGGACAAGCATAAGTGAATTAGCCTGGGAAGACACTGAAGAGCTGTATAAATGTTATTAAGAAAAATACTTCAAGGACATAGAGGGGGAATAGAGGACAAGGAGAAAATGGAAGGAAAAGTGGTGGAATTATCTCCCCTGCCCCTAAGGAAATAATTTTCTCAAAAGGTAGGGGTAGTCAAGCATGGAAAGGGCTAAAGTCCAGCAGGTAGTGAGTTTCCCATCATCAGAGGTCTTCAAGCCAAGGATTCTCCTCTACCCCTGGAAGCAGGGTGGATTGTAGAATGGATTTTGTTCAGGTATGGATAGGACTAGATGACCCCTGAGGACCCTTCCAACTCTGAGAATCTGGGGAGTCTGTATTGGAGGCTCCATATCACTGGAAGTAGTTAAGTAGAGGCTGGATATCTGCAAGTCAGGAGATGATTTAGAGGGGATTTCTGCACAGAGGAGGTGACCTCTGGAAGGTGACCAAGGTCCCTTCCAGTTTTAAGATTTCTCTGGTCCTTTATTTCTAAAAGGAAAGGGGACAGAAACTGGGGGGAAGGGACTAATTTAAGGAGGCACAGAAAAGGTGAGGATTTTACAGAAGGCTCCAGAGAATGGGGGAGGAAGAAGAGAAGGAAGATGGAGGGAGGAAAAGCAAAGAAGGGTAGGAGGGTGATGAGGAGTAGAAGATGGCGGAGGATGGAAGGAAAGGAACAAGGAGGAGGAGAAGGGGAAGGAGGGAGAAGTTGAATAATGGAGGGAAAAGACTGAGGAAGAGGAAGAGGAGGAAGAAGCAAGTGGAGGAGAAAAAATGAAGAGGGGGATGGAGGAGGATGAAGGAAAAGAAGTGCAGAAGAGGAAGTAGAAGGTGATGAGGGGGAGGAGGAGGAATGAGGGAGGAAAGAGGAAGGAAAGGAGTATGAGGAGAAGGGGAAGGGGCAAGAAGAGGAGGAGGAAAAGGAATGAGGAAGAGAAGGAAGGAGGAGGAGAAAAGAAGTGAGGAGAGGGAATGGAGAAAAAGAAATGAAGAGGAGGGGGAGGAGGAAGAGGAATGAGGGAGGATGAGATGGAGGAAGAGGAATGAGGGAGGAAGAAGAGGAGATGAGATGAAGGAGGAAGAGGAATGAGGGAGGAGATGAGATGGAAGAGGAAGAAGAGGAATGAGGGAGGATGAGATGGAGGAGGAAGAAGAGGAATGAGGGAGGATGAGATGGAGGAGGAGGAATGAAGGACAAAGAAGAGGAATGAGATGGAGGAGGAGGAATGAGGGAGGAGGAAGAGGAGATGAGATGAAGGAGGAAGAGGAAAGAGGGAGAAGGGGGGAGGAGAAGGACGAGGAGGAGGGGGAGTAAGGCACAGAGCAGGCTGGGCGCGTGGGGGCACGTGGCAACCGGGATCCTGGCCCCGGGGCAGGCTGTCCCAGCGGGCCTCGAGGCCCGGGCCCTCCTCTCGGGGATGCTGCGGTTACCTCGCAGGGAGCCGAGTCCGGGCGCCCGGAGGGACTCGGACGACTTTAAGAGGAGACCCGCCCCCTACGTGACGCCCGGGCCAGCCGACTCCGGAATTGGCCGCGGCCCGGTGGGCGGGCCGGGCTGGTGGGTGCGGAGGGGATCCGGCGGGCCGGGCCGGAGGGAGGGAGGCCGCAGATCGGCTGGGCTGCCGCCGCTGCCCCTGCTACTGCTGCCGCCGCCGCCGAAGATGTGGAGCCGCGGGCGGCGGCCCCTCCTCGCCCAGCCCGGGGCGTCCCGGCGGCTGCTGCTGCTGCTGCTGCTGCTGCCGTGCCCGGCGCGCCTGGCGCACATCAAGAAGGCGGGGGCCACGGCCGCAGCCACGGCCCCGGCCCCCTGGGCCCCCGCGGAACCCGCCCCGCCGCCGGAGCCCGAGCCCGGGCCGGGGCCCGACAGCGCCGGCCCCTTCGGGCGCTACTACCACGAGGCGGAGCTGGGCGCCGAGCTGGCGGCGGCCGCGCGGCCCGGCCTGGGCCGCCTCTACAGCCTGGGCCGCTCGCTGGAGGGCCGGCCGCTGTGGGTGCTGCGCCTTACGGCGGGCCTTGGGGGCCAGGAGTCCGGCCGGGACCCCGCGTCCGTCGGGCCGGACCCGGGGCCGCGCGTCCCGGGGCGGCCGCAGGTGAAGCTCGTGGGCAACATGCACGGCGATGAGACGGTGTCGCGGCAGGTGCTCGTGTACCTGGCGCGGGAGCTGGCGGCAGGCTACGCGCGCGGGGACCCGCGCCTCGTGCGGCTGCTCAACACCACCGACGTGCACCTGCTGCCCAGCCTCAACCCCGACGGCTTCGAGCGCGCGCAGGAGGGCCGCTGCGACCCCGCGCCCGCCGACGCCCGCGCCGGCCGCTACAACAGCCGCGGCCACGACCTCAACCGCAGCTTCCCTGACCAGTTCGGCACCGGCGACCCCCCGGCGCTGGACGAGGTGCCCGAGGTGCGCGCCGTCATCGAGTGGCTGCGGAGCAACGAGTGAGGACGCGGGGCCGGGGCATGGCGGGGGCCGGGGCGCGGGCGGGCAGCCAGCTCGGAGCCCCCTCGGGACGGGGACGACGAGCCGGGCTGCCTTCCAGAGGGTGCGCGTGTAAGGTTGTGGGAGGGAGTGTGTGAGGTATGGGGGATGTGCGCCTTTGGGGTGTCCTGGTGGGGAGAGGCTGCTTTGGAGAAGGGTGTGTGTTTGTGTGTGTATATGTGTGTGTGTCACACATATATACATATATGCATACGTATATAAGGTTATGAGAGGGAGGGTGTGATATATAGAGGGGCAGGAATGTTAGGGATGTGCAGGGGAAGGTGCCTTTGGGGTGTCCTGGTGGGGAGAGGCTGCTTTGGAGAAGGATGTGTGTGTGTGTGTACACATACATATATATACACATACATACACATATAAGGTTGTGGGAGGGAGTGTGTGATGATGTATGGAGGAGGGGCAGGAATTTTGGGGATATGTGCATTTTAGGTGTCCTGGTGAGGAGAGGCTACTTTGGAGAAGAATGTGTGTATGTGTGTGTGTGTATGTATGCACATATACATACACATATACATACATATATAAGGTTGTGGGAGGGAGGGTGTGATATATGGGGGGGGCAGGAACGTTGAGGATGTACACGGGAAGGTGCCTTTGCTCTGGGTGTCCTGGTGGGGGGGAAAGCCATGCTGGGAGCCGTGTGCAACACCAAGTTGGAACGATGTGGGAGGGGACATGTCTTGGGGTAATGATAAGGCACCCCCTCTGTCGCTGGGCATCTTCGTGCTTGGTTTCTGCCTTTTCAAACCCGAGTGGCAGGGACTGAAGGGAGGGAAGCTCCCTGGTGTGGTAGAAAGATGTCTCAAGGTTCACACGAGTAAAAAGTCAGGTTCTAGACTGGCCTCTGCAGTGTGACATTGATCCAGTCCCTTTCCCTTTCTGGGCTCTTCCTTAATTTCTCTGTAAAATGAAAGACTAGATCAAAAGTTCCTTCCAGGTCTAACCTCCTGTGATTCCTCATTTACTCCCTTGTCCTCTTAGGACAGGAGAATCCTTTTCTGACCGAGCTGTGTCTGGGTCATCCTTCCCTTGCTGAGCCTGGTTCTTTAGCCAGCTGGGTGCAGAAACATGGCACTGTTCAGGGAACCTATATATGTAGCTGGTAGGTTCTGAAACTTCTAAAGGGTCCTGGTCCTAGCTGAGATAAGTAGTTTCTTCCTTAATAAAGAGAAAAAAACCACACTTAGCACAGATAGGCCCTTACTAAATGTTTATTGGGCGATTGATAAGTTCATATTCACCTGGACGGAACTTTAGAGGTCATCTGGGCCTCCTTTTACAGATGAGGAAACTGAAGCCCGGAGAGGTGAAGCTAGCTGATGAAATGGATAAAGTTTTGGACGTGAAGTCAGGAAGACTGGAGTTCAGATCCAGCCTCAGGCACTCACATAGCTGTGTGACCCTGGGCTAGTCACTTCTGTTTGCTTTAGTTTCCTCAACTGCAAAATGAGGATAATAATAAGCCCCTACCTTCAGAGTTGTGAGAAACAGATGAGAGGATAATTGCAAATCACTTAGCCAGGTGCTTATATGCCTTGGTGTTCCCTTCACTTCTTTCTTGACTCCAGACCCAGTGCCCCCTCCAATCGAAGATACCTTTGCCTTTGTGATGGGCTGTTTACCCATTAGTGCTTGGAGAGACTTTTCCTGCAAAGCTCCCTCTTGCCCAGGCTCACCTGGGTGTGGGCAGACCTCTTCATAGGAAATATGACCTTTGTATACATTGTTACAGGCTTTACAAAGGAGAAGCCTTATCTAATTGCTAGGAGTGATAAAACTAGTAGAGTTGTAGCACTTTAAAAAAAAAGTATTTGATTTCCCCTTCCCCCCCCATTATAAGCAACCCAGAAATAAAAGCGTTTCTCTTAGTACAAGTTTACCTTGAGGTCACCCTGCAGTCTTCATCTCGGACCTAGAACCCTGATCTAGGATCTAGGACCCCTTGATCAGGTGGTACTTTTACTACCCTGAAGACGGAGAAGAATTATGTGGCATGTTGGTCACCAGAGGGGACAGCATAGGCTCCAGAAATGACATGCCAAAGGTCACCTGGTTGAAGAATTAGCACTTGATTCTGCTTAGGCAGCTGTGTAGGTCCAGCTCTTTTTTGCATTAGACATTTGTGTTGTTTCAGTGACAAGCAGAAAGCTAAAAGATTTTGCCTTCAGTGTGGGAAGGAAGTGGGAGTCCTAGGGGGAAAAGGTCCTGTAGGATCAGTAGGCTGTCTTACTGTTTGCTTGCTTGGTGAATTTTATGGTACAAATGACCGTTTCACCTAATTAGGCTTATTTCTGGGAAAACAGTAGCCATGTTTATTTAAATGGGGCTATGCTTCATCCTGTCTTCCTTATGTATACATTAATAATATACTTTGAAATAAAAAAAATATTAAACCAACTTTAAAAATAATGTGGAAAAATTAGATATTCTGAATTATTTATCCCCTTGGCCTGTGGGTTTATCTTTCTGTGGAGAATAACAGAATTAAAGGTTTAGTCCTAAGAAGTATTCCAGAAGCCATGCTGTCTAATCCTCTCATTTGACAGATAAGGAAACTGAGTCCCAGCAGGGGGAAGTGATTTGTTTAGAGATACGTTGGTCATACAGAAATGACAGAGACAGGATATGAACCATTAGTCTCCAGAGTTAGCATATTTTCCACTGTACTACAATGAATATAACAGAAAGCTGGTTGAAATGAATTATTTGTGACAAGTACAGAGTACAATGCACCATGTGCTATATAACATAGTTGGCCTGAAACCGTGATAATTAACATTTTTTAAAAAATTACTTTTTAGTTCTTTTGTTTTTGTACCACCTTCATTTCTTTTATTTCCCTTGCCCAGAGAACCATGCTTTGTATATCAAAGAACAAAAAAAAAAAATAAAAGGAAAAAGCAGTCTAACCAAGGCTGGACAGTATATGCAGTATTCCAGATCCATGATCCCCTACCTTTGCAAAGAATGAAGGGAGATATATTTTCTCATCTCTTCTTTGGAGTCAGTTTTATTGACTAATTAAAAAATTAACTAAATTATGATTTAGTGTTCTGTTTATAAGGTGTTGTTTCCAGTTTAACTATGAGATCTTAGGAACAGCAACTGTCTGTCGTTCTGTTTGTATTTCCAATTATTGGCACATATTAAGTGCCTAATAAAGGCCTTTTCTTTTATTCACTTTTTACATCACTTACATTGTTATAGTGAGGTAATTCACACTTCTGTCATCCTCAAAAAACAAGTATTTTTTAATCAATCAATAAACATTTATTAAGTGCCTACTGTGTGCCAGGCTGTGTGCTAAGTGTGGGGATCAAAAGAAAGATAAAAACATGGTCCCTGCCATGTTTTTAAAAAGCTTTCTTTAAAGTTTGCAAAGCACTTTGCTCATACCATGCCTGGGAGGAGTAGGTACTGTAAATGTCATTGTCCTCTGTTTATGGATAAGGATAGTGAAAATATAGAAAGGTTAGGCGACTTAACCTCGGTCACACAGCTATTAAGTTCTGTGTTTGGATAGTTGAGCAAAAACAGATGTCTACGTTGGCCGGGTACCAAAAAAAAGTGTCTCATTCCGCACCTTGAGTCCCTTGCTTCTCTGTGAGGAGGTCAGCAAGCTTTGGCAGCAGTCCCCTGGGATCATGTTGGGTCACAGCATTGATCAGAATTCTTAAGGCTTTCAGATTCATTTGCCTTTACAATGTTGTTGTCATTGTATATATTGTTCTTCTGATTCTACTTGGCTCAGTTTGCATCAGTCTGTACGACTCTTCACAGGTTTCTCAGAAACCATCTCTTCACATTTGGGTGTCATCATTTCTTCAACCTGGTCTATGGAATGTTAGTGGCCAACTTGTCCCCGAAAGAGAGATGAGAAGTGAGGGAAGTGCAGAAGGGGCCCATTGGTTGAAATATTGATGATAGCCTCAGATTTCGTTAATTTGTTGCTTTGCTGAGCTGCTGTTCTTTTCCTCTTTTTTAAATTCTTTGTAACAAGGGGTAGTTTTGGTTGGAGGGGAAGGATATATTCAGAAATGAAGGGGATGTTAAAAACTAAAGATTGTAATAAAAGTCAGCATTTTTAAAAAGATATGAATTTTTATAGTTTGAGACTATCACCATAGGACCTCATACATTATGTGTGCCCTGAAATGATCACAGATAATTCCTTTCCATCAGTTATTTCCCTGTTATTTGTGGTGATGAAGAAGAAAATATACTAGATTTGGATGTGGCTTCAATTTCTCTCTTTTTTTTTTTTTGGTGAGGCAGTTGGGGTTAAGTGACTTGCCCAGAGTCACACAGCTAGTGAGTGTTATGTTTCTGAGGCTGGATTTGAACTCGGGTCCTTCTGACTCCAGGGCTGGTGCTCTATCTACTGTGCCACTTAGCTGCCCTTGTGGGTTCAAATTCTGGCACTTTTACTTGTTACCTACCTGTGCGACTTTGGGCAAGTCAGTTGATGTCCTGTGCCGCAGTTTCCCCTTTTGTAAAATAAGGGGGGTTGGACTCACATGACCTCCAAGGTCCCTTCTAGTTCTACAGCTGTAATTCCAGTAAAATAAATGACCTTGGTCAAGTCACAGCTTCCTGCACTTCTTTTCCTCTTCTGTGAAATGAGAAGGAGGTTGAACCAGATGATTTCTGTAGTCCCAGCTCCAGTCACTTTATTTAGACCTTGGCCAACCCACTTAAAGTCAGAGCTGCCTCCATCTCTCTTAGCTGCTGCTCTGAAGTAGGTGAGAAACACAGCTCTGATACTCTGAAGGCATTTTCTTTATTTTAGGTGTACAAAGAAGAAAGTGAGTTGATAACCCATTTCAGTTTGGAAGGCCTGGTGGAGAGAACACTGGAAGGTCTAAAGACTTGGGTTGCTTCTGGCCAACCCTGGAAGAGTAAAAACCTGGTGGTGGGATTGAGCAGTCAGAGAGAACCAAACACCGTGTTAGAGGCATCTCCAGGGGAAGCCACTTACCCTTTGTATTAATATAGAGTATGCTCAGGCTCTCTCAACAGACCAGAAGCTCCATGATCTCAGGAGCTGTTTCTATAACCCTTGGACCTTTATATACCTAGCATCCTTGCCAGGTGCTCTCCTGGTACCTAAAACTACATGCCAGGTACTATCCTAGACACTAGGTGCTAAGTATTTAGGTACAGCACTTTAATAAATACTTACTGATTGATCTTACTGCTACTATTACTGTTATTAATATTACCACCACCACTACTACTACTAGTACCACTACCAAGCTAACATTTATATATGCCGCCTATGTCTTGTTAGGTGGTACAGTGGAGAGAACACCAGGCCTGGGGTCAGGGAGACTCATTTTCCTGAGTTTAAATTCAGCCTTAGATGCTTACTAACTGTGCGACCCCGGGCAAATCACACCCTGTTTGCCTCGGTTTCCTCCTGTAAAATGAGCTGGAGAAGGAAATGGCAAACCACTCCAGTATCTTTGCCAGGAAAACCCCAAATGGGGTCATGAAGAGTCAGACGTGGCTGAAAAATGACTAAACAACTCTCATGTTGCAGTAACTAGGCTACAAATATCTCATTAGATGCAGCAACCTTGGAGGTAGGTGCTGTTATCCCAGTTTTAGAAGTGAGGAAGATGAGGCAGACAGACTTGGCCAAGGTCGCCTGCCCGGTGAGTGTGGTTGCATTTGAACTTGGGTCTAGGCCTCTGTCAATTGCCATGAGCTCTTTGACTTATACCACTTTATTGCCTGACCCTAGTGGGCATGGTGTACTGGGGCCCAGTTTTTTCATCTGTAGAACGAGGGGGTTGGGCTGGATGTTCTATCTCTAAGGACTTTGTAATCTTCTCTTCCCCTGCCCCCCTAAACCAGTCATTCTTAGAATATTTCATGAAACAGAACCGTGATAGACTTAATTATTTTAAATTGAGTTTTCTTCTGTGTTCCCAGTGAGAGAGAATGTGGCATGCATGGAGTCCATGTCATTACTGATAATTGGAGGAAGGTGGAACTCAGAAAATGTGTTTTATCAGAGAGGCTAGGGAAATGCTGTGCAGTGTGTTTATAACATGGAAAGGCCTGTGATGAGGGAAACAGAGTGGAAGGTGAACCATCAGGCTTTTGTTTTTGGCCCTTGGGGTTGCTGCATTTGTGAATGGGATGGTTTTGCTTAAGCTCCTTAGAAAAGCAGAAATACCCAAGTTATAGGCAGCCGACTCATCTCTCACAGCTTTTTGTGGATGCCACCGGAAATAACCTCTTTTATCTAGGGAGCCAGTCAGAAAAATAGGGCTTGAAAAGGGAGCAGCTCTGAGAGGGAGGGACCCTGTAAAAGTGAAAAGCCTTTGATGTCCACCATTGTCCTTCTTTGCAAGTGGGGCCTCCAGTGGGGCTCTGATTTTTGTTGTAAGCCTCCTCAACTCTGGCTTCCTTTTTGGAAATGTGAGATCGCCCTGTGTGTGTTTACAGCATAGTGGGGGATTGAGTCAGAATACATCCTGTTTTTAAATGTTTCCCCTTGCACAAGCCTGCTTTAATAATGGCCCTCGAGGTCATTAAAATTCAAAATTTCCCTTGGCCAGTCCTTTCTCTGAATTGATAGAGTCCAGAATTGAAGGAGTGCAAAGTGGAATTCTTCCTCATATAAAATGCCCTCTTAGTTTATTGTGGCTACTTTTCCATTTAAACATGAGGCTGCTGTCTGCCTCCCTCATCGGTTCATGCTTCGAGGTGCACCTGTGTTGGTATTTTCATTTCATTCATTCATTCATTTATTTCTTAGTTTGTTTATGTACGTTTGTTTGGGGGAGGATTTTATTGAAGTCTTTTTGTTTTTATATCAGTCATTTCTGGGTATGTTCCTCAATTTCATGGAACTTTCCCTTATAATAAAGAACCCTTAAGACCGACTGAATAAGTGACTCCATTTGACAAAAGGTCTCCTACCTCTGGAATGAAAGCAGGGTGGAGGGCTGTCCTCCTTTCTTCTCCAAACCCAGCATTGTCACTCATGGTTCCTCAGGGTTATAGCTGATCCCTGGGTTCTTGTAGCTCAGACCAGCAAAGTGCAAGCTCCAGTCACTTCTACCAAGATGAATAGGCAAAAGTTTGGAATGCATATCTGTCATCCATGGACCAGCCTTGCAAAGGTTAGAGAGACAGTATGTCACAGAGCAAAGAGCACACTGACTGCCTCTGGAGTCATGGAACTCTAATAGCATCATTACCTTTGCTTTAGAGCTGTAAGAGGTCATCAAGGTCAGTCCCCTCATATTCCAGATGAAGAAATGAGCCCTGAGGGGTTAAGTGACTGGCCCAAAGTCATTCAGGTCCCCAGCCTCCAAATCCAGAACTCTTTCTACTGTGCTATGTTTCCTCCTGGATCAGGGGATCCTTCCTCCTCTACTTACTTAACTCTCAGTCTCTTATCTTCGTGGTACCTCAGTTTCCTCACCTAAAAGGAGGAGGTTGGATTAAATGACTTCTCGGGTCCTTTCCAGATCTGTGATCTCATGACACAGGGTTGGCTGTCTGGCAATTTTTTTTTTCTGCCAGACTCATCAGAACTCTGTGTCCTGTGGCACAGAGAGGGGTTGAGCTCTGCCTTCGAGCAGGTGGGGTGGGGCAGATTCATATCGACTACGTCATAGCTCCATGAAGCGTGGAAGCAGGCCTTTGGGTAGTTTTCCATTGTCAAATGTAAAGAGGAATGTCTCTCTGTCATAGTAACCGCTAATGCTTCCTCCGTTTTCTGACTTTCCCTTGTTCTGGGCAGCTCATAAATGGTTCATGTATTTCAGATAGGGGTGTGTACTTACGGAGTGTTTAAGCTGTCAGATACTGATCTTGAAAGTCAAGTTACAAAAGGTGCTGTGGAATTTTTAAACATTTATCTTTTTTGTTATCATTGCCACATTTCCATGCATGAGTGATGGCATCCTTTTTTTTGTTTGTTTTTGTTTCGAAGCTTTGTGCTTTCGGGAAACCTACATGGTGGCTCTGTGGTGGCCAGCTACCCTTTTGATGATTCTCCTCAGCACAAGACCAGTGGGATCTATAGCAGGACTGATGACGATGAAGTCTTCAAGTACCTGGCCAGAGCCTATGCCTCAAAACACCCGATCATGAAAACTGGTGACCCCCGATGTCCTTCGGACGAAGATGAGACTTTCAAAGATGGGATCACCAATGGAGCCCATTGGTATGATGTGGAAGGTAGGCTGTTTCGCCCCTTTGACCTGTGTTTTGGTGGCTTGTGGGGGGAAGGAAGTTCAAGACCTGTGATCCCCTGCCTCTAAGAGTTGTCCAGTGGTCTACCTCCCCTCCTCAAATGCTGGGAAACCTTGAATCATTATGTTATTACCTTCAGGTAAAAATGTCTAATGGCTTCCTGAGCAGGTTTAAAGATACCAGGGTCATCATACTGAAGTATTGCTTTTTCTAATCCATTCCCGTCCTGGATTTATCTATGGTGCAATCGCTGAAGTTTTTACTTACTTTTTCACTTGGTGAATTAATCGTGGTCTGCCTTTTAAAGCCTCTGCTGTTGTTTTACCCCACCTGTCTTTAACCTTTCTTTAACTTTCACACTTGGCCTGTGGTGTGTCTCCACCCATTTAGGCATCCTTCCTTGAGGAGAGTACGGAATTGTCCTGTATTTCCCCATAATGCCAGGCCCCAAAGACATTGCCTTGGACTGAGTGGCTGTTTCACATTGAGAATAGATTAATATCTGGAAAAGACTTTAGAAGGACAGTGTTGAAAATAACATATAGAATTTGTTTAAAAAAAAAAGAAATCCAACAATTTTTTAAGGGCAAGGGGCATGAAATGGAGATTCACAGTTTCATAGAAAATCTTCTTTTTATGTTCTACTATGTATATGAGAATGTGCTTTTTTGTGTGTTTAACTTACAAGTAAAAAATAAAATTATTTTAAAAAATATTTGTAAATTAGCCTCTTGCACGTAGCAGTCAGAGATGATTTTTGACCCTTTATCCTTGTGATGAAATTGTAGACCTTTTCTCATTGTGGAAGCAAACTAGACTTTTAAAATAATATTTATAGCACCTTCAAGTTATTATTTTGTTTTATCCTCACAGTCACCCTGGGAAGTAGGTGGTGTTATTATCCCCACTTTGCAGATGAAGAAACTGAGGCAAACAGAGGTTAAGTGGGTTACCCGGGGTTACACAGCTAGTCTGTGTTGGAGGGTGGATTGAAACTCAGGTTGTTCAGACTTCAGTTCGCTTCACTCCCTGGCTGCCTCTTTTCAAAACAAAATAGAATTAAAAAAAATTCTCTTTTTAGCCCTCGGCTCATGTTTTACAAAAACATAAAACTTGTCCAAAGAAAGGGGCTAGGAAGTTGTTAGTTACTTAATTCAGATGAGAACTGATTTAGCTATCTCATAGTATTGGAATGAAAACCTTTTTAAAAAGTTACAAAAGCTTTGGAGGAAGTTTCCAGTTGGGCAGCTTGCAGTACGTGATTATTTGAGCTTTTATAGGGTTGTAAAGATGCTTTTGTTTTAAGTTAAAAGATGTAGTTTGATTAAGACCTTGGTCAAATCACAAGCCTCTGGGCCTTGACTTCCTCATCCCTAGAATGGGGGCAGCCCCCCCCCCCACTGGATGACCTGAGGTCTCTTCCAGTTTTACATCTATGATCTTAACAGTTAAATGATTATTATTTTTTCCTTTTGTAAAAATATATATATATAGTTGACCTTTTAAAAAAAATTGCTTTTGGTTAATTAACTTACTTGTTCTTTATCTACCTGCTAAAGAAGTAAAAAAAGTTTGGACATATTTCTGTTTTCCTTCCTGATTGTCCCTGTCTCCACATTTGTGTTGGCTCATTTTTCTGACTTATTATCAGTTTAGCCACTTTGGCAAACCTTGACCTGATCTCCCTAGTGGTAGAAGCCAGAATGGTTTTTTCATGGGCAAGTCAGTTCATTGTGTTTATCTTCTGTGGGGCCCAGTCTGAGCTGGAGCTTGTGACACTGATTGGATTTAAACCAGGATATCCTGGAGCTGCCTGGATGGCCACAGTGATGTGGTTCAGATATGGTTCAGATACGTGGCCTGCTTTGTCACACAGTCTGATCGCTACCACAGTTCAGTGCTGGTGAAATTACTGCTGAGACGTTAACCATCAGCCCCGCAGAGCTAGCTCTCCATTTGCAGGCACTAATCGATCAGGGTCCTCTGAGAGGCACAAAAGGGCAAGTTTGCTAAAACTCAAGACCAGCTGTTACTCAAGGTTATGTTTGGCTTTTACTGGGTTGGTGTTTCCCTGAAATGGAGCCATAGCCACAGTAGTGGTCATGAGGATGGTGTATTGGGCGTGTGTGTGTGTTGGGGGTGGGGGTCCAGTCAAGTGATCTGTTTAAAAAAAGTTTTTATTGATATCATTGTTTTACATCATTATAATTTGCCCTTTCCTTGAGAATTATCCCATATAATAAATAGTATTTTTAAAGACCAAAAAAAAAAATCAGTATAACTGATCATTACAGCAAAAAGGCCTGGAAATAGGCCCAGGGTACCATCACTGGTGTGGACTTGTCCAACCTCTGCCAAAGGGTGGGAGAATATTATCTTTTTTGTCATTTTACCTCTTTCTCTTGTGAAATTTTTGGTGTGCATTCATTCTGTTCATCCATCCTTTGATTTCATCAGTGTGGGAATTCCCTCAACTCAGGCAGCTGAGGAAGCTGTTTGCTGCTTGGACTTGGTGACCAATGCATGCTAGAGGCAGAGCTCTAACTCGGCCCTTGGAAAGCTGGCCCTAAACCGGTGGTCAAACTCAAACAGAAATCAGCCCACTAAACCTCCGGCTGTAAGGATCCCTGCAGGGCCGAATGTTGATTTAGAAAACCACATGTTAGCATTATCTGCGTTTTATTGTATTTTTATTTATTTTGTTAAATATTTCCCAGTTGCATTTTAATCTGGTTTGGTCTGTGTATGTTTCAACACTTCTGGGCTATGCTGCTCTGTTTCTCACCAGTGCTAATAGCTGACAACTTGGGTGCTGGTTTAAAGTCTGCAGAGCACTTTAATGACGTGAATCTTACCTCGTTTGAGCCTCACCCCAGCCTTATGAGGGAAGTCCTCTCGGTGTTTGTCTGCTCATTTTACAGGTGAGGGAAATGAGGCTCCGAGTGGTGGATACTTGCCAGTGGTCACATGGTTTAGTTGGAGGTGGGATTTGAACCCGGGTCTCTTCTGACTACAAGCCAAAGCCAGCTCTGTTTCTAGTAATGTATCACAACATCACAGATGTGAACGCAGGTGTCATACTCAAACAGAAATGGATCCTTGCACCGCACATTGACTTAGAAAACCACAAATTGACATCATCTATATTTTGTCATATTTTCATTTGTTTCATTAAATGTTTCCTAATCATGTTTTAATCTGGTTTGGGCAGCACTGGCTGGTTAGACATTTCTGTGTCCTTTAACTTCCATTGTCTAATGGAAGACCACACTGGAATTTGCTAATGTCAGTTAGTAAGAAGAAAAGAAATTTCTCCCTCGCCCTGAGAAAAATAAGTGTAGAACTTAACTCTTTATTGGGAGGAAGAGATGTTGAGGTAGACCTCGTGGTGATTGGGTGATTAGTTCAGATTTTAAAAATGAAAAACGTACTTTTCGGCCCCTGTGATAGGACTTTGATAGTCCTATGATAACCCGAGGTCAATGCCTTGGGTTTCCTTGGCCCCTTTTTGGTGATTTCACCAGTCCCCAAGATTTGCTTCTTATCTGGCCCCTTTACGAGGTCAGCTTGTGTTTCTCAGCAAGAGTATGATTCAGCCCTCAGTGGGCAGGAAATGCTTAAAACAATAGCCAACTCCAAGGATTTGGTTTCAGCTGGCTTACTCTGTTGTGGCCTTCTACCAGTGCTACTGCCAACCTCAGAAGGTACAAGGATATGGCTGTCCGGAGAATATAATACGCCCATGAGGGTCGCGACGTCAGGGCCACTACCTCCCAGAATTTTTGTCTTTCTGGGTTTTTATGGACTTTTAGCCTACCGCTTTTCTAAATAGTATTGGTTATTCTGGTCCATCCTGGGCTCCCTTTTCATTGGTGGGATCCTAGAGAAGTACTCTTGAGTCCTAAGTACCTTTTGGGTCAGGCTTTTCCTCAGACTCTTGCTCATAAGCCCTTACGCAAGGTGTTTACATTTACTAGCCAGCCAGAGGACATAAAGTTCAAAGTAAAGATCTTGAATGAAAAGTCATCTTGTATTCGATAAAAGTGATAGTAGAACTCCAAAACAAACAAAAAAACCAACTTGAGTTGCTCTTTCTTCATTTCTTCTACCGAAGAAAATTAAAACATTCTATGAATTACACATTTTCGCACCTGTTTCCCCTTCTCCTGTGGTGTTAGGGATCCGGAATGTGGCTAGACAGGATATACATAATTCTTGTCAGTTTAACTGTGAAAAGAAATGCCGAGTGGTCTTGGTGGGAAGCTGTTTCATGCTGTGAAGTGCTGGTAGGTGGAGAAATGCTGTTTGTGGTGTTCCAGAGAGTCAAGGTGCCATGGTCTGAAATGAATTAATAAGTAAAGGAGAGCTTCTTGAGAAAGAATGGTAAAATCAACTTGTTTATTGACAATGCAAGTGGTTTGGCCACCAAACCAAAAAAAATTTGTTCCGTCCTTTGTTGAGTTAGAGAATAAGTGATCAGTCAGGAAGTGGCAGAGAAAAAAGACCCTTTTCCATTTCGAACCCAGAAATGGCTGGAGATGATGCCTTTTTGACAGAGAAGCACTTAAGAATCAGAAATGAAAAAACAGCTCCTTTAGTCTGAATTATAGAATTTGGAGAGTTTTTTTAAAGAAAGTGAATTATAAATGAAATGAAATAGCTTCCTTGAGTGTGACGTTGAATCTTGGGTATTAGGTTTTTTTGATGGAAAGAGCACTGACCTTAGCGTTCAGATCCCTACTTGGACGACTAGTCCTGATCACACAGGTCTGCTGGTCAAACCATGCATGGCTCTGAGCCTCAGTTTCCTTATTTGTGAAATGGGAGTGAAGGTAGCACCTGTCTCACGGGGTTGTTGTGAGGATCAGAAGACATTTATGAGGCATGATATTAATGTGAGCAACTCTCACTATTGTCTCCCACTTTTTTTTGGGGGGGGGATTGTTAAATATTTAGGAAGAAATGTTAGATGTTGTGAGACAATC